TACACTGGACATATACTAACATAAACTCAAAATATACTACCTAGCGGCTGCTTGTACAAGTTGCGTGAAAGTAGGGATTGACTCGAATTTGAATTGAAGATCACGTTTTTTCCCCTGATTGTGGCGGAAATCGAGGTAACTGAATGAATTCTGAATGGAAGATCACGATTGGATGCAATCTATTAAATAAAAGAGCAGTTTTAGGTATAGATGAAAATACTTTTTCCTTAAGGTAAATTTAAAAATATTTTAATATCTAGTGGGAGGGGTAAAAATTTCCCTTTTGTTTTTGTGTTTGGATTGCAAAAATTTTTACGAGTACGTTGTATTTCTTGTGTTTGAATTGCAAAAAATTTTATGTCATTTTTTGTGTTTATTTTTTGTTATTTGATTAAACAGATTTTATTTGAATAAATTTATGGAGACAATATTTGAGTGTGCTAGAGTTTAATTAGAACATTTAGTATGTAACTGAATTTATAGATTTCACAGTGCTTATAAATAAATGGTAGTTGAGTATATGAAATTTTACTGCTAAATCTCATTTAATCAGACAAATTCAATGAAATGACATGTGTAATTTAAATGACATGACATATAACAAACACTGTTTTATAGCAGTCCTTTTAATAAATTATATAATGTTTTATATTAAAATTCAAGTACATGAGAAAATTTGTCTTTGAACATTTTAAAGGAATAATAACAAAGGAATTAAAAATTATATTTGTCGTATGTATAATAGATTAGTAAAAAATTCACAAGTTTTTATAAAAGAAAAGTCATCTCCATACAAAACACGTCTAGTTAGAAATATAATAATTTATATTTTATAAATGCAACATTCACTTTTTATTATTATTTATTACTGGGTAGTTCATGTAATTTATATTAATTTTAAAAACAATTCATACTTTAACTTGTTTATACATGTGTCTAGCTAAATTATTCGTCTCGAGTATTCAAGTTCAAACTCGTGCTCATTTAATAAATGAGCTTTTGTGGCTTACCTTGTTTAATAAACAAATGAAAATTTGAGCTTGATGAGTTTGACTCGTATAAACTCAGTTCAAGTCATTTAATATACCTTCAAGCATAGACAAAAATTCAAAACTCTAAATGAATTGTTCGCGACTCAACTTGTTTGATAGAAAATTTCGACTAGTTATTCGAGTTTGCCTCGTTTAAATATACAAGAAAATCAAACTTAAACTTTTACAAGTCGAATCGAATTATCTTAGAGAACTAACTCAGTTCGAATAATAACAATACATATTTTGCAGCCCCAATGGAAAAAATTGTGAGTAAGCCATGTACTTCCCTATACTCTACTACTAGTGCGTGGCCAGTGCGATGCACGAAAAAAAATATTACGATTATATTATAAATTAAATATACAAATAAATTAATCAAGATTTACCCATCGTTTTTAAATTAAACCGTGTTGGACACAGTCCGACCAGATGATCGAGAACAATTTATAATCAGTCTAGTTCACTTGAATAAAATATTTGCTATTGAATCAACACCAATCAGTTGAACTGGTTGGATCGATACTATTTTCTAAATAAATTTGGTTATATTTAAAATTATTTTAATAAAATTAGATATTTAAATAAAATAGAGATTTATAAATTATTTATCAATTAATTTAAACATTTGAATTTTTAAATTGTTTAGATATTTAAGTAACACGTTTTATTCAAATTTATTACAAAAACTATTATATATATATATATATATATATATATATATTAAAACATATTTTTAAAGAGAAAAAAATAAATTGCATGATTTTTATAAATTAAATTGTTTGATTAAATTGTATGATTATATTAAAGCGTATTTATAAATTAAATTGTATGTTTTTTAAAGAAAAATAAGAAAAATAATAAAAGTACTATTTATGGATAGCATTAAATGCTAACCTATTTTTTTCTACTAATTTTAGTAAATATGATGACTCTTTATATAAGTATAGATTCGTTAACAGTGACCATCAGTCGAGTTACCAAACATTTGACTCTGACTCTAAATTTGGACACATTGGAGAAATAATAATAATGGGCCGAGAAGCTTTGCCGTTGAGGAGCCAGCACATGATGACGAAAGCTAAATTAATAAGTGGAGGAAAGAACACGCCTGAAAAACTTTTAAAAATTAAATCATTTTCCAAGTAATATAAATTAGTAGTTACAATATACCAGATGTTTAACAGCATATTGATTTGTTATACCCCAAAAAAAAAAAA